GCTGCTCGGTCAAACACAAATCCGAAGCAATTTTGTGTCACTAACAGGAGCCATCAAAAGAAAAAACAGGAAAAACTTTTATCCACTAAATAGAGCTCAACGAGTAAGAAAATTAAAAAAAAAAAAAAAAAAACAACTGCGGGCTGGTGAGATACTACAGCAGATAGGGCACTTGCCCGGCTGACCTAGGTTTGCTCCCTAGCACCCAATAGGGTCCCCGGAGCACCACCAGGAGTGATCCCTGAGCACAGAGCCGGAGAGGACAAGTCCTGAGCACACCTGGTGGGACTCAAAAACCAAATAATAGAAAAAAGGGGGGGAAAGAGAAAGATGAAAAACTTCCCGAGATCCTAAAAAGGAAGAGCGGCGTCTGGCTGAAGAAGTAGCCGTCAGGTCCTGAGAAGAGCCGCAGCCCCACTGGGGGACGACCGAGCTCCTGAGCGGCTGCTCCTCTTCCACACACCCCCTACGAGCTGAAACCTACCACGGAAACTCTGTTTCCACCTCTCAGAAAACCTGTTTCCTAACAAACGCTTGTTCTTTGAGCTGCTAAATTTGGGGTATTTGTTCTACGGCAACAAGAAGTACAAAGCGGCCAGAGTGGCGCCTGACTGGACACTCGCACTGGGAAGGAGCTCGGGCCAAGCCTCACGCTGAGCCATCGGAGGTGACAAAGCGGAATGTCTTCTCTCCGGGCGCCCACAGCATCCACGAGTCCCAGAGTCCCACGCTACAGAAACCCGCGCCTGCACCGATTCCGCAAGGGACCCGACCCGATCCGATCCAGCAGCCCGGCCTGTTTCCAAAGGAAAGGCGGACTCCTCGGCTCTCACCGCCTCGCTTCCATCCTCAAACCGGTGGCGTCTTCTGTGACATGGCCCGTTAATGGTTTTTAAGACAGTCCTCCTTCAGTAAATCACAGCACAGCCTGTCAGCGGTGGAGACAGACCTCTGAGCAGCCCAAAGCTAATCAGAATCAGAAGGAAGCGGAGACTCCGCAGCTGAGACGCGGGCGAAGGGTGAGGGGGACTGGGGCGTGAAGAGCGCCCACCCGGCCCTCACAGGAGGCATCTCCCAGCCTCAGGCACACCGACAGGAAAACACCCGCAACATGCGGACTTCCGTGCTAGGAAATCTGAAAGTTCAAACTCTGTGCCAAAAGATCTTCCCAATCATATGGCTTGGAAGGAGGGTTTTGGCCTATTTTCCCGACGCCTAAGCAATCTTAGCTCACCTTTAAAACTTTTAAGTGACAGGGGGTTCAAATTTGACCCACAAAATTTCCGGTTTTTACCCCCTTTTTGGGGGAAGGGAGCCGAGGTGCACCCAGAAATGCTTAGGGCTTACTCCTGTCTCTGGGCTCAGGGACCATTCCTGGTAGGCTCAAGGGACCTTATGGAGTGCCAGGGATTAAACCCGAGTATGCCCAGGCAAGGCACGCGTCCTACCCCCTGTACTATCGCTCTGCCCCCCACACAATGTGGAAGGGCCTAGGGCCAGGGAGGTAGCTCAGGGGCAGAGCACTTACTCTGCAAGGGAGAGGTCCTGGGTTCAATCCCTGACACTACACACACAAAATCAGGCCCGGGTTGACCATGAGCTTCCATTTCTGCACCTTCCCTATCATCCACACCCTCCTCTCTCCTTACACAAAAGGCACTTTTCACTTGACACCCGCATTCATCCAGAAAAACCTACAGAAGCAGCTGCGGCTTCCATAAAATGAAACAACATATCCTAGTTGGAATACAAATACAGATCAAAAACACAAAGAATAATACGATCACCTCATCTATACAGGTACAGGTAGCAGCTTCCACATAGAAGCAGATTCAACATCGCTACAGCTAGTATGCAAACTTAAAGTTGAGGCGTTTTAAATTCCAAAATTTTATTTAAAAGTAAATGTCTATTCTAGAAAAGCTTCGAGAGACCTCTGTCTCAACTAACAGTAAAGAAAATTCCATTATCAACTTGAAAGTTTTCTAACTTTACTAAATAAACACCACAGTGCGCTTATATTGTTTTGGTGGGGGTTAGTTCTGTTTTTTTTTTTTTGTGGGGGGAGAAGGCCACACCCAGCAGTGCTCAGGGATCACTCCTGCAAGGAGCTTTGGGATCACTCCTGGAAGGGCCCAGGGGACCCGTATGTTGTGCCAGGGATTGCACCCAGGTCAGTCCTGTGTACGTGCAACCTTACCTGCTGCACTGTCTCTCTGGCACCCTTACACTGGTTTTTCAATAACTTTCTCCTACGGGAAATCAGTATTTCTTGTACCAAGTGTCATCTAATTATTTTATAAATGAGTCACTTTTCACCACACAACTCTTCCAATACAGGTTTCTAAAGTGACACCCTGGATCACACGTTTCACCAAACTTCACAATTAATTTTTCCTTAAAAAAATAAATAATAAAAATATTTCAGAGATTTCAACAATTCTAAAGCATGATAAACTCAAAAGTATGATGTAATTTCAAAGCCTATTATACTGAATAGGCATAATAGGCATTATAACAGAGTAAATTTTGAAGATAAAATCACTGTGATAGAACGCCTCAAGTTTTCTTAAAAGCACTTTAAAACCACAATATCCTTCCATCAGTTACCAAAATAAAGACTTCCTACCATGAAATCAATCTATGAAGTTCAATTAGATTGGTGTAATCAGAAAACCTATGGGACAGAAGACCTATGAGTAATTTCCAGTTTTAAAATAACTTAAAATAAGCAACCGAGAGGCATTTCAAAATTAAGATTTTTCAAGATCATAACCAATTTCACTACCAAGGCTTACACAAACGATGATTCTATTACTCTGAAATGGAAAAATGACAATACTTGTTGCCAGTAATGCTTATACATGAAGAAAAGCTGTATGATGGGCTAAGAAATTTTAATCTTACTGACTCAAAATCGTGGCAACAATGTTACTGGCTCCTTATGGTGAAACCCTATGCAAAAATGAGCTATTCAAGTACCTACTTAGAACAGGAAATAAAGACAAAACTTGAACTGCCAAAATATTAAGCAATACTTCATTTTCTTCTAAGGGGCCTGTAGGTCTTGATATTAAATTTAAAAGAAAAAAATAAAGGACTCTGGCACACAGCTTGCCTTATTTAAGGTTCGAAACTTTTGTGAAGCTGAAATAGCAGACTCTGTTCAATCTACTTCTATACTGTATTTACTGCTGGAGCGTGAGGCCCGACTTGCTTCTCTATCTGTTCACCAGAAATCAAAAGACCCATCTTGTCCAGAGCTGTGAAATGCTCGCGATATTTAAGCTGTGCAGTCAGGCACAACTTTAAGATCCAATGCACGGGCACACACTAGGTAAAAATGTAACCAGGGTGGGTCCTGTTGCCATAAAGAAGTATCAACTTCCAAACCTCTCTTGGTACCGATGGAGACGTGAGCAACAGCACTTGCTTCACTCTGGACGATTCACATCCATTTTCAATTTCTCACGAAGACATTCTCCTTCCTGTCCATGACTACCCAGCACAAAACTCTTTTAAAGCTCGTACGATTTCCGTGCATCTAAGACTCTGCCTTCACTAGACATTAAAGCTAAATGCCAAATCCAATCTAACGCTGCACTTTCAAAATATTTGGAGCTTTATTCCTTGAAACATTAAAATATAAACCAGTGTTCATTTTTGTCAGTTAACAATTGGAATTCCTCGAAGTGTCGAATATTTAAACTTTTGAGATTCAAGTCAAAAATCTCCTGCTCATCCAAAACATTAGCAGATGGTCAAAATAAAAGCTGACACACTTGGGAAGCAGTGTAAGCAACACGCAGGACGGGGTTCTGGTGGAGAAGTGCATGGGGGGAAAAAAAAATCACTTCCAAATATGAGACTTCCCAAAGAGGGATCCAGAAAAGGTGTGTGTGTGTGTGAAGGGGGGGGGGGGGGGATTTGCGGCTACAATGTGATCCTGACAACGTCCTAAAAGCAGGAAGGCAAATGGGGGGGGGGGGGGGTCAGTCTTGCCAGGACTTAGGAAAAACCACAGCCCCATCTTCGGGGGCCTCTTCCCCCCCCTCCCCCCCGCCCCGCTGGCCTGGGCCCAGGGCCTTAAATGCTCGCAAGTCCCCCTCGTGCCTGGCCCGCGGCTCGCTCCGCCAAGTTCCCTTTCACAGGACACCCCCCCCCCCATCCCCGTCCTGCTTGTCCTGCTTCTCCTCGTCCTCCTCCTCCTCGGTCCTCGGCCCCCCGAAGACTTGCACGGGGGTGGGGGGGGGAGTCTCCAAACTTTCTCCCGGATTTCATCACCCAACACAGCGCGGGCACTCGGGAGCCCGGGAACCACATGCACGGCCGCACGCGGGGAGGAACTTGGCCAGCGCGGGCGGGCGGGCGGGCGGACGAGGGGTCAAGGACTAAGCTGGGCTGGGAGGGATGGGGGGGATGGGGAAAAGGGGAGTAGGGCCCCTTCCCTGCACCTCACCCGCGTCCCTCCCTCCAGTCCCCATCTCCCCACCCCGCACCCCCACTCCCAGCCGGCCCAAGTGAGGGCCGGGTGTGTGTGTGTGTGTGTGTGTTGGGGGAGGGGGGGTTCTCCCCGGGTGCAGCCCTAAGTTTGTGCAAAAAGCAAAAAAAAAATAAGAAAGAAAAAAAAACCGCAGGCGAAGCCCAGCCATGTTGGGAAACACTTGTCAATCACGGCGGTGACAAGTGTCGGGCCCGCGGCTGCACGCGCAGCTAACCTGGGTCCCGGTGGGGAACCGGGGGGGGGGGGGGGGGGGGCGCGCGCATCCAGGCCCCTCTCCCGCTCCGCCCGGGGCGGCTCGGGGCCTTACTGGGGGGTGGGGTTGGGGGGCCGGGGTCCGAGAGAGCGTGGAGGCGCGGGGTGGGGTGGGGGAAAAGAGGAGGAGCTGGGGGGCGGGGGTCCCGGCCGTGCAGGGCCGCGCCCGAGGACGGCGCGGGGGGCGCGAGGCGCGAGGCCCCGGCGGGCGCGGGGCGCGGGGCGCGGGTCCGGGGCCACTGACCTGTCCTCCGAGTCCATGCGGCTCAGCGGCTCCCCGTCCGACGACATCTCCAGGCTGCCCCGCCGGCCGCCCGAGGTCGCGCTGCCGCCGCCGCCGCCGCCGGTGCCGTAGCCCTCGTCGCCGCCGCTGGAGACGACGCTGCTGCTGCTGCTGCCGCCGCCGCCGCCCCCGCCAACGCCGCCAACGCCGCCGCCCCCGCCGCCCCGCGGTCCCTTGGGCTCCTCCAGGCCCTCCTTGGCGTCCCCATCCCCGCTGCTGCTGCTGCTGCTGCTGCTGCTGGCGGCGCCGGGGCTGAGCGAGCGCGTCTCGTCGCCGCTGCTGCTGCCGCCGCCGCCGCCGCCACCGCCGACGCCGCCACCAACGCCGCCGCCAACGCCGCCAACGCCGCCGCCGCCGCTGCTGCTGCCGCTGCTGCTGCCCACCAGGCTCTCGGCGCTGCTCTCCTCCTCGGCGCCGCCGCTGCTGCTGCTGCTCCCGTCCTCCTCCTCATCCTCCTCCTCGTCGTCCTCCTCCTCCTCCTCGTCCTCCTCCTCCTCGTCCTCGCCGGCCTGGCTGGCGCTCTCGGGGCTCGGCTCCGACATGGTCTCCGCCTCGCCGCCCCCCACGCCGCCGCCGCCGCCGCCGCCGCCCTGCAGCAGCAGCGCCGCCACCGCCTGGGCCTCCGCCGCCGCCGCCTCCTCGTCGTCCTCCTCCTCCTCCTCTTCCTCCTCCTCCTCCTCCTCCTCCGGCGGGGGCTCGGGCCGGCCGGCGGGCGGAGGGCTCAGGCGGGAGAGCTCCTCCAGGTCGGCCATGTCGGCGAGCGCGGCGGCCATGGCGGCGCGCGCGCTCCTCCTCCTCGGCCCCCGCCCCGCCGCCGCCGCCGCCGCCGCCGCCGCCGCTCGGTTCCGACTCGGCTCCGGCTCCGGCTCCCGCGCCCCCTCGCGAACGCCCCGCGCTCGGCGGCCGCCGCCGCCGCCGCCGCCGCCGCCGCAGCCGCCGCACAGCAGGAGGAGGGCCGCGCGCTGCGTCAGCCGCACACGCGCTACGGAGCCCGCGCGGGGACAGGCGCTGGCTGAACGCGCGCGCGCGCGCGCACACACACATACACACACACCGCCCGGCACGCTTTCCGCGCCTGCGCGGCCCCGCCCCCTCCGCGGCGAAGCCCCGCCCCCACATGAGGCCCCGCCCCGCGCCGCTTCCTCTCGGCCTTCCCACGCCTTCCTCCTCCTCCCCCGGCGGAAGCGGCCCGCGCGCGCGCGCGCGGCCCCGGGGATTTCGGCCGCCCTCCCGGTTCTCACGCGCGCGGCTCATTCATTCCCACTCCGGCGCGGGCGGCCCGCGGCCAGCATCTGGGCTCCCGGGGCGTTTACCGGTCCCGCCGCCGAGGCCACGCTGCTGCTGCTTGGTCAACCGGGGGTTCAGCTGACCCCTGAGGTTGCATCAACTGCCTCCCACCCACCCAGCCTCGAGACTGTCAAAACTTCTCAGCTCCCGAGCCCGCCCGAATCGTGGCACAGTTTTCCAGGGACGCGGCACCGTGTTTAGCAGCCCGTCATCAGTAGTTCCTCCCCTCGCTCTCCCCGTTTCGAATACGGCCAAATGAATTCGAAAGACCTCGCAGCTTTTAATACCGCGTGGCATTTTAATGTCACATCCCCTTCAGAACTTTGTACTAAGAAAGAAAAAAAAAATCATGCTTGAAGACCCCTCGAATAAAATGTCATTTAAAATGTTCAGGGCACCACGTTTGGTCCCCCTGAGCTCGGCCAGGAGTGATCCCTGAGCACCGCCGGGTGTGGCCCCAAAACCAAGATTAAACATATTTTTAGAGTGGCTCTTAAATTTCTTTCGACCACAACACGTTTAGATTTTCAACAGATCCAAACCAACATTTCAAGTGCTCAATAACGCTATACTCAAAAGATTTTCCTAAAAACGTAGATTACAGAGCTAGAATTGAGATGCCCCCCCCCCAGCTAGTTTTAGCAGTAGATAAGTACTACAAGAAGAAAGCGTTCTGCATCAATTCTATCCCAACTTTTCAATTCCACGGCCGTAAGCATTGAGAAAACTTGCCCGCCTAAGTAAGTAGAGGAGAATGAATGGAGTTTTGTTCGAGTGATGCCACCCCATTCTTTGAACGCCTTCCAAATTATATGCCCCAAAATCACATAAAGCTCTAACAAAGAAAAAATACTTTTAATGATCCATCAGCCAACAACACTGATTAGACTCTCTTTCAACGTTGTTGGAAGCATGAAACTGAAAACCCCCCCGAATTTGTAAAAGGATGTGTGACCCATTCCCATTCATCAGACTATTGTTCCTTTTGGGGGTGTCCCGGGGGTTGCTGCATCCCTGGGGTATTGCAGCTCTGTAAGATTTGGGGTGGAGAAGAACTGGGCCTTTCTCTTGTAAAACAGGGGAGGGGCGTTTCAGATAAAGGAGGGGGCTGGAATGGAGAGCTCTCTTCACTCCAACCAGCAGGCTCTCTGCTTCTATTCATCCCGGCGGATTTATTTTTTCAGGGAGGCTAGGGAAAGCAAGGCAGGATCAGGAATTAAGGGCCTCCGAACTGAATCTCCGCCGGCAAACACATCCTACGAAAGCTTCTCATGCCACCATAGACACTATGATATTTACTGCCCTGAGTTTTTGAAAGGCTGTTTATAGACCCCCTATGTTGCCTCAAGAGAAAGCAGAACGGAAAATGAATAGCAGGAGGCATGCTTTATAGGTACCTTCACACACACACACACACACACACACACACGGATGCAAAGTAGCCTGAAACATCTGAACTAGTAAGCAAACAAGAACAGAGTTGCGAATTGACAAGCATTGAAAAGTGAACCTTAAGCACATGTGCATTCTTGTTTGTGTTTATCAAGGAAAGTCGGTAAGGCATTTGCTTTGCACGAGGCCTTCCCAGGTTCGATCCCCAGCATGCCATCTGGTCTTAGTCCGCCAAGTGAACCCTGAGTGCCGAGCCAGAGCGAATGGAGCCCCAAGCATCTCCAAATGTGGAACCAAAAAAGCAAAAACAATTTTGGATTTGGGAATGAGAGCAATATAGCATAATAAGTACGGTACGGGTTCTATAGCCAGAATACCATATGGTTCCCAGAATACCGCCAGGAATTCTGGAGTGCAGAACCAGGAGATAGCCCTGAGCAAATCCAGTTGTGAAATGCTCCCCACAAAAACAACAACAACAACAAATTTGAACTTTAACAGATGTATATAACAAGAGATACCAATTACATCTTTTTTAAAAAAAAATCATCTAGGGGCTAGAGCAATAAAACAGCGGGTAGGGTGTTTGCCTTGCATGCAGCCAACCCAGATTCAATTCCCAGCATCCCATATAGTCCCCTGAGCACCACCAGGAGTAATTCCTGAGTGCAGAGCCAGGAGTAACCTCTGTGCATCGCTGGGTGTGACTCAAAAAGCAAAATAAAATGAAAAATCATCTAATTTCAATTTATTAGAGGTGGACCTTGAAAAACTGAGTTAAATTGAATTGTGTGGAGAAGAATTGTAACGTGCAGAAGCAGTAACATGGAAAAGCAGAAAAAATGTATTGACGATGTAAGCCATGAGAAAGCCAGTCTACAAAGACAAACTCAAAGATTAGCTGGCGGAGACTGTGGAGTAAAAAAGTTTGACTTGGGACCAGAGAACAGAACAGTGGGTAGGGCGCTCACCTTGCAAGGCCAACCTGGGTTCGATCCCCGGCACGTCCACATAGGTCCCCTGAGCTCTGTCAGGAGTGACCCCTGAGCACAGAGCCAGGAGTAACCCCTAAGTATGCCCTGCAAGGCCGGGTGTGGCCTTGCAACAAACAAACAACAAACAACAAAAAGGTTGACTTTGAAACACAATAGGTTTCTTTGTTGGGGGTTTTTTTGTGGGGGGAGGAGCACAGGGAGGTGCATCTGGCCAGACTCAAGGTTTAGTCCCCAGAGCCCTGCGGCTTCACTTTCTCTCCAGTGCCTACCTCAGGTCAGGGTTTGCTTTGTTGGGTTTTTTTGATGTTGTGGGGCCTCACCAGCGATGCTCTGAGGTTACTCCTAGCTCTGCACTCAGAATTACTCCTGGTGGTACTAGGGAAACCACGTGGGACGCCAGGGATCGAACTCGAGTAGTCTGCATGCAAGGCAAGCGCCCTAAAACCCGCCGTACTATCGCTCCGGGGCCCTTAAGTCTAAAAAACCTTCAGTTCATTCCCCATCCCCCCCACACACACACACACACACACCATCGAGCGCCATCCGGTCCAGGTACACTGACCACTGCCTTCCACGTCCAGAGCACCAAACCATCTCGGGACGCTGAAGGAGCCACAGCAGAGGGAAGGGGGGGGGGGGGGGGAAGGAACAATATAAACTCGGTCACTTGGAAAATGTGTCACTAAAGGGCCTTCGCGGTTACTTTGTTGCCGCTGCTTGTCCATTAACTTTGGAGCTGAACTCGGAGCTCAGAGTTCCTCTTCACTTAGCTCTGCGCTCAGGGATCACGCCGGGGCGGAGGTAATGCATGATGCAGAATGGAAACCGAATCAGCCACGTGCAAAACAAACGCCTTACCCGCTCCTATCTCTTAAGCCTCTAGGAATTTTATTTCACTGCAAATTTTCAAAAAAAAAAAAAGTTTTTCAAAAAAAAAGAACTGGAAAGGTTCAAGCCTCTAGGAATTTTATTTCACTGCAAATTTAAAGAAAAAAAAATGTTCAAGAACTGGAAACGTTCAAGAACTGAGCTAATACAGCGGGTAGAGCTTTGCCTTGCACGCGGCCGACCCAGGTTCGGTCCCCGGCACCCTACGTGGTTCCCAAGCGCAGCGGCAGGGCTAATTCCTGCGCGCAGAGCCAGGAGTCATTCACCCCCTGAGCATCGCCGGATGGGACCCAAAATGCCAACCAAGAAAAGAAAAAGAACTGGATAAAGCCTTGGCGCCCTGCCCAGGTCTGCCTCACTTCCTAGCACTCTGCCACATCTGCCCAGGCGTTGGTGGTCAGTGGCTCCCCCCACCCGCCCCCCTCCCGGACTAGCCGCTGGCATCCTTCCTCGGCACCCGTCGGCCAGAAGGAGGCCAAGCTGGCAGAGCAGTGGCGCCCCAGAACCATCCCCCACTTACTCATGCCATGGCGTTCCATGCGGTGGCCCCGGGAAGGAGGATGCGCCAAGCGGCACGAGGGGTGGGGTTCAACCGGTGCATGCGCACGCGCGTGCCTCCGGGCGCTACAGTCCAGGCACCAAAGAAAGCTGCAACAGTAGCAGGGGCTGTTTTTTGCTGCGAGGGTGGAGCACATGCTCGTACTTGTGTGATGAGGCCCCGGGTTCGATTCCTGGCCCCCACCTGGAGACGCTCAAGCACTGACTGCAAGATCCACGATGGGCCAGCTTGCCAGCCCTCCTGCCCATCGGGCCCGTCCTAAACTAAGCAAAGCTGAAATTCGCTTCTAGAAACTTCTCTCGCCACTTGTCCGGGACTGATTGCAGGTCTGATGAGTCTAGTGATAAAGACGGAGAGACTGGCAACTTTTGATGGCATTATTTCATTTTTACTCTACTATCCTGAGAATTTTCTCCCTTTTATTTTGTTCCCCCTGGCACTTGACCAAAGTATTAGGGCACTGGGAATTTTCAGACTCCTGGTCAGCGCTCAGCGTTCTCCCATTCCACCTCACGCAGGGTGTGCGATGCTATGCCTAATTATAAGTTGCCCAATAACCACCTGGCAGCAGAGCAGATTTGAGAGGAAGAATAAGAGGAACAGTACTAATGAGCTCAATTAGCAACAATCACCAGGATTTTACTGCCTCTTCTACCTACTAACGCCTTGTGGCCGCCTCCAGCGTTCTGGGACCCTCCACCCCGCACCCCCTCCCCAAAGCACCCGCTTTCCTCCCTGAGAACCCATGTCTCCCTGC